ACTCAATATATAATTTTAATGTCTCTCACTCTTCCGCACGTCCAATTCTCTATCAATATTAGAATGAATGCATGAACTAAAAAAAAGGAACATTTGAGAAGACAGAGAGATGTAGTTGAGATTTTTTAATTGCTGAATTTTATTAATTAATAATTATTAGGTTTCAATTGCAGGGTTTCTAATGTTTGTTAGCCATTAAAACTGAATTCTTTGGTCTCATCTATATTCACTTGATAATTTGGGAGTGGACACGTGTCAAGCCTTTACACAAATACTTGGCATATTTTTTGAGCATTATTAATGAAATACATAGTGTAATTTTTTTTTCTCTTTTCTCTTTTCTCTTCTTCTTCTTCTTTTTTTTTTTTGGTTTCTCTCGCAGTTGCAACCTATTATTTTTTAATAAGCTTTTATATTTGTTTCAAATATTTTTTTAATATACAAATTATTTTTTACAATGTAATTTTTTTCTCTTTTTTCTCTCAATTGCAACCTGTTAATTTTTAATAATAATTTATATTTGTTTTAGATATTTTTTTAATATAGAAATTATTTTTTTTAGATTTTAATGAAATGAACGGTGTAATTTATTTATTTATTTATTTATTTTTTTAAAATTGCAACCTGTTATTTTTTAATAAGAATTTATGTTTGTTTTAGATTTTTTTTAATATACAAATAATTTTTTACAGTGTATTTTTTTTCTTTCGTTTTTTTTTTCACAATTGCAACCTGTTATTTTTTTAATATGAATTTATATTTGTTTTAGATTTTTTTTAATATACAAATTATTTTTAAAATTTTTTTTATAAAAATAATTTAAACAATCCCATTACTAACCATAGTGTATGGGAGAAGTTGAAAATGGTGCTGTAATAACTATGAGAGAAATCAAAAAGGCTTGTGGGTGGGGAGCACTTAATGAATGCAGAGGTTATTTTTTTTTAAATACTAAAACTGACACCAAAATCAAAACCAAACCAATAGTAGAGAAAGAGAATCACACATGGAAAAAAATAAAATTAAAAAACAAATAAATCTTATAATATATAGATAGATATAGATATAGATATAAATTTCAATTATTATTAAATTTTCAAACCACAAATCCAAAATTCAATTTCCAATGCATGAGAAAATGAAAAAAAAAAAAAAAAAAAAAAAGAAAAGAAATTTGAGGTAGAGAAATTGTGGAATATTTTCCCCTTAGAACACTCCTCTTAGAAGGGTTTAGCTTTCATCCGGTCTGTGATCAGATTAGAGGGTGTTGTTGGGATCGTAAGACTCCACAACGGGTCCCATTTTGATAATCTGAACCGTTCAATGTGTAGAACTCGTCAGTACAATATACTTATAAAAAATCACGTTGATCGAGTATCGACAATTACGTGAACAAATCAATTTTGTATAAAAAAATAAACAGTGAAAAAATAAACGATTGACGGAAATCTGATCCGCTAAAATAGCTATCGATATTCGATTAACGTGATTTTTTACAACCATATAGTAATCGATGAGTTCTACACATTGAACGTTTCGAATTATTAAAAAGGAACCCGTGGTGGGCCCTCACGGACCCAACAACACCCTCCAATCTGATCATAGGCTGAAGGAAAACCAATTCTCACTTGAAAATAGACCATTTAAGCATTTCCAAAAAAAAAAAGAAAAAAATAAAAATGTCAAAGATCTCAAAAGTTCTACCAATTTTGATAGAACTTTTGAAATTTCTAATCTTACTCAAAAAAAAAAAAAAAAAAAAAAAACCAAAACAAAACAAAACAAAAGAAAGGTGGGGCTCAATATGCCAGCTATACATACATATATGATATATGATATATATATATATCTTTCTATCCCCTCCTCCATAAGAGTATCTCCAACGCAGCCTCCATAACTTCAAATATGAAGGATTTACTCCTTCAACCCATCCTCTAAATTTATCTCTATTTGAGAGGAGGATGAGTTGATTCTCCATATTTGGAGGGAGGATAAAAAAATAAAGGATCCCCTCCAAAACACTATTCATTCTATATTTTTTATTATATTACAAATAACTTTTAATATGTAAATTTAATTTTTATAAAATTGTTATCATTAAAAAGTCTGAAATCATACCTTTAAAATGAATATAATATGAAATATATTTTACAAAAATTTTAAAATTAAATATTTGTTAATGAACAAAAATTACTTTTTGATGAAAATATTTTTGAGATAAATCTTTAGAAAAGAAAATGACCATTAATGTTTTAAAAAAAATGCCCAACAAGTAAAAAAAAAAAATAAAAAAAAATTGCTGTCGATTGGCTGGACTTCCGGCCGGACTTTTGGTGACACCCAATCCGGAAGAAAATGAAGGTTTGTGAAGGTTTGTGATTGGAATTTAAATGAATAGTGACATACTTTATATTTATTTTTTAAATAAAAAAAATTATTTTCATCCTCTTGGTGAGAGGATTGGGTTGGAAATGCTCTAACACAAAACAAAACTCCACTCTTCACAAGAAATGGAAAAATGGAAAAACTTCCAAAACCTTTTCTCTCTCCTCTTTCTCTCACTTTCTCTCTCTATCTCAGTCTTTCTTCTCCCTCTATCTCCGCCGCTTCGTCTGTAATCTTAGACACCACTTTTCACTTTCTCTCTTTGACACTATGTTTGGATTGAGTGATTTGGAGAGAAAAGAAAAGAAACGGAGAAATATGTATTTTTCTTACTTGTTTGGATAACTTAAATGAAGAGAAACGGAGAGAAATTTATTTCTCTTATAACCCTCATTTTCGATCTCCCCAAAAATAGAGAGCTTAAAAGAAAAAACAAACTATCAGATTCTTATATTTTCATAATATCAATTTTGTCTCTATAAAAATAAAATAAATAAAATGATTAAAAGAAATATAAAAGGGTTATTTTGATAATATAACATAAAACACTTTCTTTCCTTTTCTCTTATTAAATCTAACCAAACAAGAAGGAGAGAAATCACAATCATTTTTTTTCTTTTATTTCTTACTTATCCAAATAAGAATGAAAGAAATTACAATCATTTCTTTTATTTTATTTCTTACTTATCTAAATAAGAAAGAGAGAAATCACAATCATTTCATTTCTTTTCTTTTCTCTTATAACTTAATTAATCATTTCTTTTTCTTTTTTTTTCTCTCTTAAGTTCTCAAACATAATGTAAAATTCACATTTTGATCCAACAACCCCCGAATTATTATTTTTCTTTTATTTCTTACTTATCAAAATAAGAAAGAGAGAAATCACAATCATTTCTTTTCATTTCTTTTCATTTCTCTTATAACTTAATTAATCATTTCTTTTTCTTTTTTTTTCTCCCTTAAGTTCTCAAACATAATGTAAAATTCACATTTTGATCCAACAACCCCCGAATTATTATTTTTCTTTTATTTCTTACTTATCAAAATAAGAAAGAGAGAAATCACAATCATTTCTTTTCATTTCTTTTCTTTTCTCTTATAACTTAACTAATCATTTTTTTTTCTCCCTTAAGTTTCCAAACATAATGGCCTCATTTGGTAGAGTTGTGAAAAGGTGATTATAAATTACAGCTTAATAGATTATTACTTATAGCTGTAAACATAAGCTATTAACCTGTTTGGTGCAACTGTGAGATTATGGATTTAAGCAGCAGAGTAGTATTTGGTTGATAAGCTGTAAAATAACTTTTTGTTGTGTAATTGTCCTTTTTGCCCTTATATGATATAAAAATGATTATTTTGTTATTTTTTTCAATTTTAATTTTAAAAAAATTATTTCATTAATAAAAGTTAATATAATTAGTATTACAAAAATTATTATTTTCATTAATAGTATCAATTAGTATAAAATTATTTCATTTTTTCATTATAAATTAATTAGTGTCAATTAATGGTTTAATTAGCATCAATATTTTTTTTTCTTTTTCTTCATTTTTTTTTTCTTTTTCTCCTTATTTTCCTTTCTCTTCTTTCTTTTTCTTCTCTTCTTTCTTTTTGTTAATTTTGTTTAATTTATTAATTCATTACAATTAATATCAATTAATATCCATGTATTTATATTATTGTTATTTTTTTTCATTACAATTAATAATATAACAATTGTATTTCTTTTTAATATCCATGTATTATTGTTATTTATTAGCTGTAAATTTGCACAATTCATTTCAATATTAATTGAAATATTTTTTTAAATTGTTTTTTTTTATCTTTTTTTTTTTAAAATTTATTTCAGCTTATTTCAATATTATTGTTTTTCAACAATTGTTTAAATTTATTTCAATTTATTTATAACAATTGTTTTTTTTTAAATTGTGTTTTATTTCTTTTTATATTTATTTCAATATTAACCTAAGCTGTAAATTTATTTCAATATTATTTTTTTTTCTCTATTTTTTTAAAATTTATTTCAATATTATTGTTTTTTAACAATTTTTTAAATTTATTTGTAACAATTATTTTTTTAATTTGTTTTTTATTTCTTTTTATATTTATTTCAATATTATTGTTTTTTTTCTCTCAATTAATAAATTGTTTTTTTTTTCTCTCTCTTTTTTTTTCTTTTATTTCATTACAATTTTGTAAAACCCTAGATCTGAATAGCCGGAGCCACCACGGCCGGTGAAGAAGCCCTCTATCAACTCATTCATCTCCTCCACCACCACCAGAAACCCTCGATCGTCATCATCATCATCATCATCATTACCATTTTCAGATCGTAATGTTGTTTCAGATCGTGAGAGAGAGAGAGAAGCTCAACAATGGCGACAAAGCAGCAATGGAAAGTTATATCTATCCTTGAAAAGTTATATCTAACTTCAAAATCACTTATTTTAAATTATAAGTGAATTTAAGCTGAAAAAATCCCTCCCCCTTTATATCTAACGCTTCAAAATCACTTATTTTAAATTTTAAGTCAATTTAAGCTGAAAAATTCTCAATTTAAGCTGAAAAACCTCTCCCCCCCTCCCCCCCTCAAATCACTACCATCAGTTTCTATCTCCTTCTTTCTCGAGAAAATGGCAAAACCTCCCAAATCACTACGATCACTTTCTTTCTCCTTCTTTCTCGAGAAAATGGCGCACACACAAATCACTACCATCACTTCCTTTCTCCTTCTTTCTCGAGAAAATGGCAAAACCTCATCTGGGTTCCATGCTTTTCTCTCTCTTCTCCCTCCTCTCTTTCCTCGTCTTGGTTCAGTCTCAGTCCAGCTCAACCGACGCTTCAGTAATGCAGGACCTGAAAACCAGCCTCAACCCACCGAGTTCACTCGGCTGGACCGACTCAAACCCCTGCAATTGGCAACACGTAGCTTGCTCCAACGACGGCCGAATCACCCGGATCCAAATCGGGCATCAAAACCTCCAAGGTTCTCTCCCTCCCTCAATCAACAAACTCACTGCCTTACTGAGATTCGAGGTCATGTCCAACCAACTCACTGGTTCGCTCCCGAGTTTCGCCGGGTTGAACTCGCTCCAGTACCTCTTGCTCAACGACAACAACTTCTCTTCCATTCCCTCTGATTTCCTTTCCGGCTTAACCTCTCTCCAAGCTGTATTTCTCGATCAAAACCCCTTTTCGGCTTGGCAAATTCCGGTAACTTTCCAAGACGCCTCAACTCTCCAAGTCTTCTCGGCCGTTTCCGCTAACATCACCGGAAAAATCCCCGATTTTCTCGGCGGCGACACCTTCTCGAGCCTCACGACTCTTCACTTGACTTTCAATTACCTCGAGGGTGAGCTTCCGGCGAGCTTTTCGGGTTCTCCGATTCAGTCTCTGTGGCTAAATGGGCAGATGAGTAGTTCTAAGCTCAATGGCTCAATTGCTGTGATTCAGAACATGACTCAATTGACCGAAGTTTGGTTACAATCCAATTCCTTTTCGGGCCCTTTACCGGACCTTTCGCGCCTTACCATGTTGCAGAACTTCAGTGTGAGAGACAGTGAGGTTACGGGTCCGGTACCGGATTCTTTTGTGAATCTTCCATCGCTTAGGGTTGTGAATTTGACAAACAATCAATTGCAAGGTCCAACCCCGAAATTTCCCCCTTCTGTTGGGGTTGATTTGATTCCTGGAACAAATAGCTTCTGCTTATCTGATCCCGGAGTTCCGTGCGATCCCCGAGTGAATACATTGCTTTTGACTGCGCAATCTGTTGGTTACCCGACTGTTTTTGCGGCGAATTGGAAAGGTAATGATCCCTGTACAGCGTGGTTGGGGATCAGTTGTAGTAATGGAAACATTACTGTTTTTAATTTTCAGAAAATGGGTCTTACGGGTACGATTTCTCCGAATTTCTCTTCGATTTGTTTGATGTATTTGCAACCAAATAGAACCTCCATTATATAGGAGATGATTTACAAGACAAAATGATGAACAAAGGAAATATACAAATGAAAGCAAAAGGAAAAGAAGGTGTAAAACTATCCCGAATGAGCTTACAACTTTGCCTAATCTTAAACAATTAGATGTTTCCAACAATCAGCTTTATGGGAAAATTCCATTGTTTAAGAGTAATGTGCTTGTAAAAACTGATGGCAATCCTGATATTGGGAAGGATAGTGGTGGTCCGACTCCGGGGACACCTGGAACCCGAACACCCCCGGGGAGTACACCTACTACACCCTCGAATAATGGTACGAAGATTTCGGGAAATAGTGGCAATAAGTCGTCGACTGGTGTGGTTGTTGGTTCGGTGATTGGTGGTGTTTGTGTGGTTTTTGCTTTTGTCGTTGGATTGTTCTGTGTTTACAGGGCAAAACGAAAGCATTCTGGTAGGGTGCAGAGTCCCAATGCCATGGTGGTTAGTCATGGAAGTAGTGGACCTAGTGACATTCACGTTATTGAATCTGGAAGCATGGTGATCTCGATTCAAGTTTTGAAGAGCGTGACTAACAATTTTAGCGAAGAGAATATATTGGGAAGAGGTGGATTCGGAACTGTTTACAAAGGAGAGTTGCACGATGGGACTAAGATTGCGGTTAAGAGGATGGAGTCGGGAGTGGTAACTGAGAAGGGTTTGGATGGGTTCAAGTCTGAGATAGCTGTGCTTACAAAGGTCCGACATCGGCATTTGGTTGATCTTCTTGGATATTGCTTGGATGGAAACGAGAGGCTAATAGTTTATGAGTACATGGCTCAAGGAACTCTTAGTAGGTTCTTGTTTAACTGGAAGGAGGAAGGGTTGAAATCCCTTGAGTGGTCTAAGAGGCTGATCATTGCTCTTGATGTGGCCAGAGGTGTTGAGTACTTGCATGGTTTGGCCCATCAAAGTTTTATTCATAGAGATCTTAAACCATCCAACATTCTTTTAGGAGATGATATGCGTGCTAAAGTAGCGGATTTTGGACTTGTTCGTCTCGCACCAGTTGGAAACTCTTCAGGTCTAACTAAATTAGCAGGAACTTTTGGATATCTTGCACCAGAATATGCAGGTACTCTTTTATAAATTAAAAATTATAGACATTGAATTTTGATACAAAAACTCAATCCGAATAATTTAATATATTTTTAAAATTTTGAGCCCAAGTAAGAGCAGGTTCCTCTAGAGTTTTTTTTCTTAAAATTTTTTACAGTGGTGCATTGTGTGGTTGAAATTTAATGACAAGTCACATCAATTTTTCAGTATTAAATCTCAACTACACAATACATCACTTTAGAAAACATCCTTCGTGCCCAAGTAATAGCACCTTCTTTTGAAAATGAGAGGACCACAATATCCAACATTTTTTTTAATTTTTTATAGAAATTTTGTATCGAAGTATTTGTTTATCACAACTATTTTCATTTTTTCTCTATAAGCTTTTGAAAGACAAAAAAAAAAAAGAAAAAGAAAAAAAAAGTATGTTATGCCTGAAACAAAACAACCATCAAGGTGATTTTTAAATTAAAAAATGACGTTTACAAATAATTATTTGGACAAATTATAAAAATAGTTTATATATTTTGATTCTTCTGTCATTTTGGTATTTATAATTTCAATTGGCTTGATTTTGATCTTGAATTTATAATTTTGTTTTAATTTAATCTAATTGATTATAACTCTTAGCATTTTTTTTATGAAATATATATATATATATATATAAGTGGCATGTTTCATATTTTTTAAAATAAAATTACAAATATATTAAATTCAATGAGTTAAATTTAAGTAATTCAGTGATTTTTTTTTTTTTTTTGGGTTAAAATCACTACGACATTATCTATGGCATTATTAATTGGACGAAATTGATACAAAATTTAAAATTAAGGATTAGAATTGAGCCAATTGAAGATAGGGGGACTAAAATAACACAAGAGGTAAAATATAAGAACCACGATATAATTTGTCCTAATTATTTTTTTTATATATTTTGTGTTAGAATTGCATTTTTCAAAAAATTAGCTAACAAGTCATGAGTTTCCACATAGTTGAACTTAAGTAAATGCTTTTACTTTTCCATTCTACAAAAGTAATTATCCAAGAAAACATCCTTGATATGTTTTAGAAATAGGATTGGATTTGTATTACTGTGTACAAAGTGGTCCCTTTTTTTGGTCTAACTATCACATTCAATGTTTACTCCTGAAACCAACTTAAAAAAATTTAGAGACAATGATTTAAGGAAAACACTATGCTATGCATTTCTCAAAAGATGTGTCCCATTTACATTTTATAATTAAAAAATAAAATAACATAATTTCATACTTTTTGAATTATAACTAAAAATATTTTTTTTATTATAATTAAACACAACATGAGGCACAATTACAAATCTCATGAGTTATAACTAAAATAATCTTATAACTAAATAATAAAATGACATAACTAGGAATGCTAATGGTACACCTTACGTTACATAGACTTGGGTGCGGGTATCAGATGCGGGTGTTCGCGGATCGGTTTTGTGCGGTTTGCGGTTCGGTTTTGACCCGCCCGCATCTATGCAGTTTAGGAAAAAGTCAACCCGCAACCGCCCGCAGTGCGGTTTGCGGTTTGTGCGGATAGGATTTGTAAATGTGCGGGCGGTTGCGGGCGGTTTGCGGTTTACACTTTTTTCTTTAAAAATTAATTTTGAAGTTTTTTTTTTCCCATCGAATTTAGGCATTAGATTCATTTTATATATTTGTGATCATTTGATAACAATTTTATGAGTTTACAAATAAAAATTGAATATCACTAGCATTTTTGTCATGGGAAAAATGTATATCAATGCATTAAAAGTTGTACTCAATTAGAATTGTCAATTCAGTAATCAATAATCAAACTAGAAGCTTCATCGATCACCAGAAGAAAAAATTTATTAGGAAAAAGTGGATGAATCATCAATGAAAATCATATAAGAAACCAAGTTTAGGACTTGATAATTCTACGACATTAAGAAAGTTGAGAAATACTTAAAAATAAGGATCCTAGTGTCATAGAGAACATAATGATGCTCCTGTTAAAGTTACAAAGTTGGTATATAAAAAATAATAATAATAATACTAATTAAAGTGCGGGCGGTTTTTGCGGGTTGCGGTTTTAACCCGCGACCCGTCCGCAACCCGCAAATTTGTCATATTTCAAACCGCATCCGCCCGCATTATGTTTGCGAAACCGCCCATTTATATACGGGTTGGGCGGGTTGGGCGGTTTGAGCGGTTCGGATAAACCGTTGCCCACCCCTAGATGCGAGTGCGTATTTAAGAGTCGGACATTTCAAAATTAAAAATTAAAGAATAAATAAATATAGATCCAAATTTGAATACTGGTACGGGAATACGTTAAATATTTATTGTTAAAATATATTTATTATTTATTGTCTTATGTATTATTTTTATTGATAATATTTTTGATTAATTTATATACATATATATATATATATTTTATTTTTAATTTATATATATATATACATATTATAAAAAAAAATATAACAAATAAAGAATAACAAATTATGTTAAAATAAATAAAAAATAAAAAATAGATGATTTGTTTTATAGATTTTATTAGTATTTTTATTAATATATATGGTCTATATTATCAAAATTTTACAATTCACGATTCGATTCACGATTCAATTCATATTTTTTGCAAAATCGATACAAATTTATGGGTGAATCTATTTTGAAAGTGAATCTTTAGTGAATTGCACGATTCACAATCGATTTACGATTCTATTCACTTTTTACGATTCATGCAATTTTTGAAATTATTGTGTCTGACATATTTTCGACTATTTTTTCTCCATATTTTTAGTGAAAATGCCATAATACAATTTTTAATAACATTTAATACCAAAATAACTGACATATAAATGCATGATTTATTGTTATTTTAGTGATTATAGAATTTTTAATAGGATTCAATTAGATTCAGTCACACCCAACATATTTCTAACCTTCTCATTTTTTTTCTTAAAAGTTCATAATATATCTTCTTTAAGATTAAAGTAACTTATACCATGAATTATCTATTACTATTTTATTAAATTAAATATAGTTGAATATTACATAAGTGAGGCCAATTATACCTTTTAAAATATTTTAGGCTTTAAAATGAAAAATTCTAAATAATTCTTTCTTATTATTTGCAACACGTTAACTTAGAAAAATATGTATACTTATTGTCCAAATATCAATATTATCATTGTTAATTAGTGTTGCTTTAGAAATTGATAGTTTGTCTATTTG